GGAATGTAAAGACTTTCCGAGGGAACAACGTGAAAGGGAATTATACAGAGAGTACTATTTAATGAACAGAATTGCTTTTGCTCCACTCGACCTGGCTGCACCTTTTTTAGCAAGAATATGTAGTTCGATTTTAGCATTGCTTCATTATCTCTGCACATCACATCAGGTTAACATCTCCAAAAATGGTTCAGCTATTGAAATGAGGATCATTTTTGGAGTGGACGTACATCTAAGCGGGCAGTTGACGGGGAGAAGAACCAACCAGCAACTTACCATTGTGTGTGGTCATTCTTAAATCACCCTGCCGTCGTCCATTCCGAAAAGCATCCCCCTTATTCGAGGAAAAAGATGAGAAATTTGTGTCCAAATCGTCCGCCCTTGACTCACTGGTTCAACAGCGATTATATCAATTTCTCGAAGTTAGGCGAACCTCTTGATTTTCTCTGACAACCCTCCCAAAGCACAGTACAGTGTCACACGCATCACATATTCTTTTTTGCTGCCGCAGACATTTAGAGCCACTTTGGTAGCATCTGGTACTTTTGGGCGCCAGACATACTTGCGCACCTCTTTTGCGCGGTTTAGAAGGGTTCAGAAGTGTCAAGTCCGCCTACACGACCCAAGCTGCTGGTTTCAGCGACATTTGCTTATGGTGTTTGGAAGCTCCGATTTCGGTGATCATCGAAAAGCTAGTCCGCTGCGGTTTAGGAAGAGTCCCTTAATTTGAATAAAAGGTTGTACCATTCAGTGATGACAGTCTTTTCGGGATGCATTCAGAATGAGCAGAAAAGGAAGTTTTACTTGCATTCGAAATCGTAATGGCTTTTATTGGAGTAGGGCCTAAATAGCGAGTTGCGGAAAAGAGGCCCCTCCTCGCCAACTCGATCCCTGGACCGTGCGTGTGGTAAGCGACGTCCGCTAGAGTTCCGCTGGCTTCGATCCTGGCTGGGCCGCGGATATGATGTTCCTTCAAAGTGAATACGTGCTGGCATGGTTCGTTCCAATTGGACTGAGCCGCCTTTAGAGTTGGATCAGACGATCTGTAATGAGTAAGCCACTATGTATTAAGGTAAAGGGTCTGCCTAGAAAATGAGGAAGCTACTCAGCTGTAAAATGCTTGTTAGAACTATGTTTTGTGCTCTATTCGAAAAAGTGATGAAGTCATGAGGAAATACATAGCATCGGTAAGAATTTTGATGGATCTGCAGTGCAACACACTGCCTCTCATAATGATATGATCGTCTATAATTTGTTTCAAAAATCCCGGAAAGTAAAATAGAAGCAATGTTAAATATGATCGCGAGATTGAACATTCACATGGATACAGTCCTGGAAAGCAGTAGATACAGGTCAGCCTGGGCGACGCAACTAATCAAGCTTATGATGGGTCAATTTAGTTATCGCTTTGATCTAAATGCGAACCCAGGCGTAAGCCTCAGACCCAAGTGACCAGTCGTAGAGAAAGGGCCTTGACCTGTGCCAAGGTTCCATGAAATGGCAACTACTTATGTGCAGATAGCGGAAAGTAATGAAAATAGAAAGATATTGATAACCAGATTGGTCCCCCGGCAACCGCCGGAACCTCCCTTCCCTGCGTAAGCTTTGCGTTCCTCCTCCTCTCCTTATCCTCCCCTCCTCCCTCCATTGCTCTCCAGCTGCCACTGCAGCACCTTGTGGAATGACCGAAAGTGTGCTAAGTAGGTGTTTATATAGCCGTTGGGTGTTATCACAATCATGCCATTGCAAAACATTGATAGGGCAAGCCCTGCGAGCTACCCAGATTTGTTAGCGGCCTTGTTTATTCCATTAGCTGCCTTATCACTCACTTCATTTTGCGGACGGACAGACAGACAAACTTACAAACAAACTGTCGTATCAAGGCTGTGGTTTATATGTATTACCAGGTTTGCTCCGCCCGCTATCGCGCGCATCACAGGGTAGGGAGGAACCACGGAATAGCAGCATGACGTACTCCATTAACCACCTCACTATTGAATGTGTTATACCTCCTTATACCCCTTCTCTCCGGCGCATGGCAGCGCCATGTTCTCCCTCCCTTTCTCCTCTCCCCCTTCCCTCCCTCTTTCTCTCCTCTCCCTCTTCCAGCCTCCTTTCTTGCCCCCTTCCTCTACTACCCGCCCCTCCCCCACTCTCGGCTGCCACGGCAGCACCATGTAGAATGAGACTGAGTGTGCCTGATCGGTGTTTATATAGCCGCTGTGGGTTTATCATAATCATGACATCAACATTGATAGTGGATTGGCCTCGGTAACTCCTGGTTTTAGTGAGCGGACCACACGACACATGACAACACACACACCACACACCACACACACACCACACACACACACACACACACACACACACACACACACACACACACACACACACACACACACACACACACACACACACACACACACACACACACCACACACACACACACACACACACACACACACACACACACACACACACACACACACACACACACACACACACACACACACCACACACACACACACCACACACACACACACACACACAACACACACACACACAAACCAAAGCGAATTACATATAGTAGGACGTTATAAGTTGGTGATATAAGGAGTACGGAATGATCACATAGGAGGATGTCATCGCTATTGATACTCAACCGAGCTCCTTTAAAGTTTATTACGATATTAATGACCGATCAGTACACGGGCTTGGTCATTATGAGGACCGCGGTAGGCGAGGCCGCAATATATCTAACTTTTACTTTTCTATAGCTTATTTTCAGTTCTTTTCGCTTGCACTAGTCGTGAAGGGTGCCAACTTCTTCCTAATGAAACCAAGTTTCATGAAGTTCTCAAAACTAGTGAAATAACTACTTCACTTTGAGTCAGTCCTCAAATTGAACTCACTAGGGGCTCTGGCACGTTACATCTAGCAGCAGTCTAACCTATCAGAGAAGCCCTTATGAGCAACAGTTCAACTCTTCAATAAGTTTGGAACCACCACAGATGGAAATTCGGGGACTCGAAAGTTACAGTTACCACCAGGATAATTATCAGATGCAGAAACTAGGTCTCCCCTTGTCGACTTTCGTACACCCAAAATGAAAAAATTGATGTGAAAACCCAGCCAGACACTCTAAAGACTCCACATCTGTAGTGGATAGAAAGCCACACGAGTAGTCTACTTGGGACTTTTACAGGACCGAGCACCCAAGAATAAAGCAAAAATTCTCTAAAAAGCGATTTTTCGAGTTCGTTGCTTTCGAAGAATTGTTACAATGGAACCTCCACCTAATAGCTCTAGATTTCTGTATTTCACACCCTGGATGCAAGCGCAAATAAATGCCCACAAAAGTTTGATTCCCTGAAGAAGGCAGAGCAGAAGGCCTGGAAACATTTGGACACGCCTTAGTTGCGTGCCACCGCACGCGCCATCCCCCTCATCCGAAGGCTCGTGTTAACGGGGCAAGTGGCAGATCTCAATTCTATTCTGGAATTACTTTGAGGTAAGAGTTACAAATACTTCCCAGAAGTTGGTTTGTTCCATCAAGCTACTATGCGTTTTTAACGACACAATGTCTTGGTCCTCATAATTTTGGACCACCCTGTACTCACCACGCTGTTCTGATTATTACGCAGATCACGTTTCATGGTTACTTTACTATTTGGTGGACACCATCGTTTACAGTTTTAAGGTATGATTAACAGAATAAACACAGAAAAAAATCTGAGAAGAATGTCTGGAAAGGTCAGATAAAATGGGAGTTGTAAGCATGCGCTTCATAATGTCTCACGTGGCCTGCGAAGTGTACGTGAAGCACATGCGCATCACGCTGGAGTCAGTGAGGCTAAATAAGCTTCCAAGTGCAAAATGATTCGCATCACAGTCGGGACAAGATCAGCCGACGTCTTGGCTAGAATACAGTTGAAGTGCAATGGTAAACGCTGTAGCTATCAAGTTTTGGCATCGTTGTAGTTGGGCACGAACAACGTCTACTTTCGCGACTTATTAGCATGAGAATTTCCTATCTGAGTATTATAAACTTTCGTTTATTCAATCAATTGTGTTTCCTAGTTCCTTTACCAGCTCTACATTTTTCTGTACTGAGCTTTTTTATATGGCACGTTGCCTGGAAGTATTTGCAACTAAGCACTATCACTGTTTCGCCATTTATTATCACCGAGTGGCGTCAGACGAAACACACAGTGAGACGGGAGGTTATATGGAAACTATTACAGCTCCGAGCTTCTGACATGGATGTGGTTTTTAGCTCTGGCACGGGAGTGGCCGTTGCACCTCACACACCTAAGAGGAAGTTTACTCTTTTCAAATTGCAACAATGAAAGACCTTTGGCTCCATGGGTTCTTAGAGATCAGTTGCGTCAAAAAGCTCCAAAAGCATGAGACTCTGTAAAACAGCCTGAAGCCAGCTCAGTCCTTTGCCATATCTCATTACTGAACACGACCCGACTGAGCCAGTTTATGAGTGATAGTGATGCCTAGATTATCGCGAGATCTCGTATCGCCATTTGTATTGCCAGTTTCAAGTCAAATGCTCAACTGCTTATCATTTGTGCGTCTTTCTCAGAAGCCAAGAGCAAGGTGAACTGATTGAGGAAGAGGACTGTCTTCAGGCTAAATTTGTGGATAAATAAACCCGATTGAATCTCCTTCATTCATTAACGCCACATCATAATGATGATTTCCATGATTCTTCATTTCTCTGTGATTTCTATGATGTTTTTACATTCTCAAAAGCTAGTTCTAGCCTCGCAGAGAAAGGTTGAATCGCAGAAGAACCCAGCAGGGCAGTCCGAGCACGGAGGACCTGTTTTGTAGATGCGATGACGGAGCTTGTTTCCTCTGAAATGTACATGTTGAGTTAGATTCGCACGGATAATGGTAAGGAATTAAACTAGTTGATTTACCCGGGGCTATAGTGGCATGCAACATACCACATATCTCCGCAGTTTTGCGAAACAGCACATCCAATATATTCAGTAGTCGCCCATGCCATCTGAACCACAACAAAATATTATACATACAAACCTCCTTACACGGTCCGAAACAGGTTGCATTCTGTCAAACTTATCAACACATCGTTACGCGTTTATCTAGGTCACAAGTTGTCAAAGATGAACCAAAAGGCGTTCACGGCAACTTGTCTCGGCACAAGACAGCCTGATGTGTCATTTGGGTTGCGACTTTTGTTCGCTGCACAGTTCTCTTGAAATAAGACTAACCCTGTGAATCCAGGCTGATCTGCTCGTTAGGTAACGGCACTAGTACAAATGACTCTCTCTCCGATGCCACCGTCTTTTCGTACTCTGCTCCACCAGCCTTTAACAGCCTTAAAAACATTTACTCCAGTAAGGAAAGTAATAAGCCCATATTCTGTAACCAAACCTCAGCCATGGCATTCACGCGATATCGGGCAACACTTTTGGGAACACCTGCGATATTCTTGTTGCACACGTACGGACGTGCTGATCGCATAGAGTAACAGCATGCTGTCTACCAGCAGCTTTCGCCGACGTTTCGAGGCGAAGCATTTTGTATCTCTCCACAGAAGTCTGATCTGGGCTAGTTATATGCGGACATAATACATGGAGAACAAGTGTGTGTTTTATTTATTTATGTTATTTATTTATTTATTTATTTATTTATTTATTTATTTATTTAAACTGCACTTTAGGTGCGCCCAAAACAACACCAGGACTCATGTTAGTCGAAACATAACGCAAATCAACTAGTTTAATTCCTTACCATTATCCGTGCGAATCTACCTCAACATGTACATTTTAGAGGAAACAAGATCCGTCATCGCATCTACAAAACAGGTCGTCCGTGCTCGGAATGCCCTGCTCGGTACATCTGCGATTCAACCTTTCTCTGCGAGGCTAGACTAGCTTTTGAGAATGTAAAACATCATAGAAATCACAGAAAGTGTTGTACCTAGATGACCTAGATCCCTGTAGAAGAGACACGCCCGAGAGTTTCCGTAATTCCTTTTTTCTAGGAGCGACGGGGATTGTGTTTGTGCATTGAAGCGATTCCGAAGAGACAAAGGGTATGACAATCTTCGTTGCACAGCAAGGCTCTTTGACTTAGCAGTCACTGCAGTCACGTGTATTCACGGGAATGGCGGGGTGTGACAACAAACTCGCCGCCAGACCAGGTAGTCGGCCCGCAGCCTCCTTGCTCACCGCAAACAGCGGCTACAAGTTATACGCTACTGCGGGACCATTCAGAGTCAACCCTGCGTTGCGCAGTTCTTCAACGGCCACGTTGCGCAGTTTCGCCCGATTAGACACGTTCTCTCGCGCGAACATTCACACTCGCATGCTCGAGCCGTCTGCGTCTCCGCCCATACAGCGTGCGTTGAGGATCTCTCAACGTGCCGTTGCGAACTGCGCAACGCAGGGTTGACTCTGCTCACCATTTCATTCCAACTCAGCTTTTCATGGTGTACTTACCATAGCTTGTCAGCACTCACACGTCTAACGTGTTGAGCCGGTTAGCCGATATCGGCAATGACCGCGAGGCTGAAAGCTTTAGCAATGAATTTTGACTGTTTTTTATTTGTTAACTATTTGTTCGCAACCCATTATTCTTGTCATACATCTGCAAGGCGAACTGCGGCCAAAAACAACAGGTAACAAAAAAACAAGTCAAAATTCACTGCAGTCTATCGAAGTCCGATCGAATCGTAGAATAACTTCAGATTTCTCCGTCGTGTTGCCGCCCAACACTTCAGAGGAAGCATTTGGATGGCATAGCAAAAGCAACTTATCAACATTGG